TCCCAAAAGCTCATGGGATGCCAGAATGAGTGGTTCAAGCAGCAGACGAATTCTGAGCTCTCATTCCGCACACTCGATCACCATGGTCCAACCAACTGAGCAGAGATTGAGTGGCTGTGCCTCTTCTTTTGTGGTCTTTTACCACCATCTCAAACACAACGACGCCCTGTCTGTTCGCCTGACAGCTCTCTCATGGGCATAAAAAGGTATGTAATTATCTCTCTTTATACTTACTATTATTTTAGATACTTTTTATGCATCCGGCAGCCCCAAAAGCCCCAGATAGCAACCGTTCCATCCCCCACCCCAGCACGTAAGCCCTCTGATGAGGCAGTGCTTCTCGTAGCTCTGGAACACCCAAGATATCCTCCAGCATTTGACGACGACAATGCTATCCTTCAACGACCCCTGCCAATCCAGCAAATATGCCCCCCCCCCCCAACCCCATTCCGACCAACTCAGCCTACTCAGTATCAACATCAAGGGTAATCGCCATCATGCACGAGCTTCCTATGCCTCAATGACCTGGAATACTCCTGGAGATACCATATCAGCTGTCATCTGGGAGCAGGAGCGTAATTCCCACAAACGAATGATGATGACGAATGCAGCAATGACAGCAGAGGACAGGGCTCACCACGCTCTGTTGCTGGACCATGGGAAGATATGAGGCAAGGTTTGCAGGAGCAGTAGGAGATGCAGGAAGGCTGCGAGAGGGTGGGAGTGTCTGAGCGGGAGGGCAGGAGAAAGATCAGGACACTGACAGTTAATGATGGCAACAACAAGCAACAACAACAATATGCTTGTGGGCATAAATGGGTGACCTGGGGGCACATCAAATGCACCTAGAAATATGGCTGTGTGGCCACCACGACCCCCGCAGCTGCCCACCCCATCCCCAACCAACATCGGGCTGCCCCATGCCAATGAGGTTGCCTACACACCCCAGACTGGTGCATCTCTCATTATTTAAGTGGGGATTACTACTCTGTGGTTGTTTTTCTTTCTAGATGTTGTCATCACCATACGCCTGCCCCACCCACCATCCCGACATCCACCTTTTAGACATTGTATCATCCCTTATGGCCCTGCTGCTCTTGTAACAACCTCACTTTCAACAATGTGGAATGCAATGGTGATGTCTGTTTTATTGGATTGGCCTCTCATTGCTGTTGAACAGCTGTCAATATTGCCCAGCCAGCTTTTTGGTGCTCCACCTGTGGGCTATCACCCCCAATTCTCAAGCAGCCTCATCTGTCAATAGTGAGGGTATCGATGACACCGATGACACCATGCATGACCCTGTCCCACATACACAGCACGATGACAGTCTTTTTTTTCAGCCCAAGAACTGGATATATTGTATTCATTATCATCTATTTCAATGGTTCTTTGGCCTAGGTGCTAGGACTGCTCATTTCATATTGTAAGTATGCGTATTTTGGTTCGAACCCCGATGGTGTAACATTTTCTTCCAATCCAGTACATTTACGGGTTGAAAAAAAAAGGGTAATCCTGTTGATAGAGCTATGGCATATGTAGATGTTGTACATTAGATCTGAATACATTTGTTTTCCAGCAGGCCCAAAAAAAACATGCTTGAAATGATAGAAAATGACATTGAAGAAATGTCAGAGCGGTGGAAAAACATCATGAAAAAAAAAACATATGGAGGGGCTGACACTGGAAAAGGGATGACATATTGAGGAAAACATGTGAACCTGATCATCTCCAGAGGGAGGACGGGTGACAGCACCATCAAAGGGAGATAAAAATAAATTCCACACATCAAACCTGTCAAAAATCACTGAGCTTGCACAACACGTTGGTAACAAATCAAAAGAAGCTCAGCACATCAAGGAAATCAGTGGAGAATTTGGGCCCAATTTGACAGCAAGGCACTTGAAGGCGGGAGTGCACAGACTTGCGGTGTTGAGCACATCAAGCACATTGAGGAGGCAACTACACCCATGATGACGATATACCTGGTGTGGATTCCTCTGCCAAAAATCCATTGCAATTGCAAGCAGTAATACATTGCACCCAATTGCAAGTACAAGGGATTAATACATTATGGTTGTCTTACAGCTACAATGGATAATATATTGCTAGGCTTTTAACAGGTGCCCTATTCATGCTTGTCAAGTATAGCACAAATAACACCAAGTATGTCGTTGTTGACACTGCATAGGATAGAGGACATCCTTTCGTCATGGTGGACTGTGATAGAGAAGTGGAGCACAGCCTCAGACACACCATCAGCACAGGATAACATGCCATGAATGGGAATTTGGTTATTTGGGCACATCCACAACAAAAAATGTGTAATTGGATGTTATCAAGGAAAGCTGTGAGGTGACTAGAAAGCTGAATCAGATCCTAGAAAGAAGAACCGAAGGATAGCATATGCAGCTTCCAATAGCAGTTTCTTGAATGAATTGTTTCCAGCATTTTTATTATAGTTTTGACCAGCACTGGGATGATCTGCCACAATATGATGAACATCATCTGGACCCATGCATCTTCCTGTATTGCGAGGATGCAACCTGATCATTGTAGCTTGCTCATCATTGTTGTCATGGAGCAGCCAGATATAAAAAAACCAGCAGGCCCACAAGCTTGCTGACTGATGAGGGCCATGTGGGTAGAGGGGAGATGAGAAAAGAATATACCTGCACCGCTAATGGGGTGTACCCCATTATGAGCATGGATTACATTTCTTTCTCTATACATTGTTTAGCCAGATTAGTCTTTCTACATAGCTTTATTCCTAGTTCAGTAGTTGATTACCTCAGCAATTCACCCTTTGACTCATACCACCACCTCTCTCCAAACAACTCACAGGATGAGGCCTCGCTCTAGATTGTATAGAGCTCCTCATTCTCAACACTGCTACAATGGTTGTCACCCAGAAAATAATTCCGTAATTGATCCATGGCAGTCCCTAAGCCCAAACTGAATTAAACACAAATGTAAGTAGATGAAAGATAGATAGATAAGAATGTACATGCAGCACAATATCCTACCAACAGATTGCAAGATGGGCCCACAAAAGGAAACAGGAAATTAGTGATGTGCTGGCTCAGGCTCAAGCCCAGGCTGGCCGTAAGCCAGCCCTATAAAAGCCTAAGCCATGCCAGGCCGTAACAATGGCTTTTGAGGGCTCAAGGCTTGGCTTGGGGTTTTCAAAGCCTTAAGCTGGCCCTAAGCCTTGGGCTTTCTGTACACATAGGTAAGTGTCTTCTAATCCCATATTTCAGCCATATCCAACTCACTCTGCATACTAGGGATGATATGATAGCTATCTTCCATTGTAAACACCTTTCTTGCAGATCTATCCTGGTATTTCGCAGCTGGCAGTATGTGTAGCAATAGACCCTAGGTATGATGTCATACTTGCCGACTCTGTCATATTAACACTCTGGAAGGTGTACACTGTCCTAGATGAAGCTAACAGGTCCCCAGTATGTTACTATGCATTGGAGCAATGATATAACTATACTAACATCAGTGCTACATTGCTCAATAGGTGCATTATCTACCACCACTGAAAAGCCGGGGCTCAAGCCTAAGCTGGCCTGAGCTGAGCCCTGGCTGACAGCTTGGGCTGGGCTTGAAGTTTTGATGAGCCCAAGCCAGTGTAAGCCGAGCCCAAGCCATGGCTTTGAGCCTAAGCTGGGCTGGCACATCACTACAGGAAATCACAGAGAGAGTTGAATGTTCTGAATTTGAGTACAGCGGCCAGAGTATCATTGGGCTTGTCAAGCTCATGGTCATTGTATTGAACATTGAGTCTGGCAGACCAGGTCAGCTTAAAATGGAAGACCAACCTTTTGATTCCCACACCACAGACATGTCTCCCTCCTTCAACCTCACTGACTGCAGTGACATCATACTCCAATTGCATCCTCTGGCTCTGAATTTGGATGGCAGGTGAGCAGCTCTGAAGTGATTTCCTTCTAATGGTAGATGATAAACTTGGCAGTAGAATTACAAAATTGGTCATGCCAGCTGGAAAATCAGAATGAGGCTAGCACTGTTAAAGTGGTGGATGCCCTTTTACTTAATATCAGGAATCAGGAATCAGTCAGCACCACTAACATCTAAGCAACGAGCAGTGAGTGGCGAACTGTTAGACCCATGTCCAATCAAGAATAAACAATGGCTGTCTCGTGTTTGGGCAGTCACTGTTGAGTCTCTTTTAAGCAATCGGATATAGGGCTAATGTCTTTAGCATCTTAGCAAGGATATTAGTGAGAGTGATTCAGTATAGATAAACTTTAGCTCGAAGCTGGAGAATATACAGCAAGAGCTACACTACTTATATACTAAAAGTGAGGATCTAAATATAAGTCTTTGGTGAGAGAAAGAAGCAATAGCATATGTAAAATGAACGACAACCACAAGACATTTGGTCAGTTGTCCTGGACATCTAAAGATAGGATGAGATAAGGCAAGTGTTGAAGATAAGGTAGAAAGAAATGAATAAATCGTAACACAAACATGCTCTGTGCAGACACTGCTGACTAGGGTAGTGCATGAAACCTAGGTTTCATTACACTTGGGTTTATTACCGGTAAGTTACTGGTAAGTTACCTCCCCTCACTGGAAGGAACTTTTGTGGAGGTAACTTACCAATCGTGTGACTGCCAGCTAAGCATTACACTTATAAGTATATTCTTTGTACAAGATAGAGGTAGATGTATTCAATACTTCCAGAGGTATAACAGCTCCTGAGAGAGAGAAAATGAGCAAAAAATGAGTAAAAACGCGAAGATACAGAACCTGATAAAAATCTGCAATTGCCGCATGCTTGTCATGAGTCTGCATGTGAGAGGTAAGTAATGGTAAGTTACCGTAGCAAAACTACCCCTCCTGGGGCTGGGGCAGGGTAAGTAACTAACAGTTACTTACTTACCTGCCTGGAGGTTTCGTGCGCTACCCTACTGCTGACTCTGCCCACTGCCACCTGGGGGAAAATAATTGCTCAAAAGCCACAACTCTCTGGCTGGGAGTTGAACCCAGCTTTCGCGTGTGCCGCTGAGCGGCCTATTTGTGTATGACAGGCACATGCACTAACCGATACACTACCAGAGAATACAGTAATACTACGTGAATGTAATCCTGATCCATACGTGTTTGGCCTATGTTCGCTTAACACGATGTCCTCCCCAATCAGCTCTCTTCAGCGCCAACAACGTCGGACGTTCCATCAAAGGAGGACCGAGAAGGCAACCCGCATTTCGAATTCGAGATGTCAGCCCTTGCGAGTTTTCTTTCCTGACATCTCCCGGCGAAACGAAGGAACGTGGATTCGTATGCGAAGGTGGCCTGGATATGTAGAAAGGACTGACGTGTACTGGTAGAACGGCACAAGGTGCGTGAAATTCCAACGACTCTGACAGGAGTACAGCTCATCCCCACCGCTAGACCGTATGCCATCCTACTTATACACATGCCGATTTACCCGTCATTACCGTGGCACGCCTCCTCGTCATCCAATCGCGTTTCTGACCGCAGGTCACAGTTTTCCTCAAGTCTCCTTTAGCGCGTTTTTGTGAATGGCTGCGCAGGGGTCGATAGCCAGGGCAATGACGATTAGTGCTGCTGGAGGAGGCATCACTGGCAGTGATTGTACGAATGAGTGGATTCGTCTCCGAGCGGCTACTATCAAGCGATGCAGGACGGCCCAGGGATGTCATGTGCTCGGGACACCTTGTCCAATGGCCTCGCCCGTTCGTGTCAGGGCCTGATCGATGATCTTCCCTAGAATCAGACGGCGCGCATCAGGTTCTCTATGCCCATGACGATGTCTTCCAGGCAAAGTCATGGACTGAAGCGTCTGGCACTCATCGGCAGCAGCAATATTGGACTTTAAACACCCAGGTTTGAATTTGAGATAATGCGGATGCACGGTCAGTCTTTTGTCGATGTGTTCTGCGTGCCTTCTTCTCATATTTCACCGCAGACACGATGGTGAAAATGAAGAAAGATAAAGATATGGTCAGAGCCGGAATATCTGCTTCGAGTGGCAACCAATGAAGATGGTAGAATTTCAACGTCTATCGAGCCTCGACGCTGGTTATGGGTTATAGGGATATGGACTGTAGGTGTATGCTACCTATTCTAAAGCCGAAACTCAGGTTGCGTATCTAACAGAAATCATACATGTACCAGAGACGGGATCTGCTCGTATAGCATCAGACAGCAGAGTCGGTGGACGGTACGTCATTTTATATCGCTCCAACAAAATCAGTGCTCACTCATACTGCCAGCCCCGTACTACAGGCAATTTCCCGGACCCTTCATCACTCGATCCCTTCTCGTGGTGCTGACATCCTCTCATCCGACCGCGTTTCCGACACCAGGCCACAGACTCGCCCTCCTTTGGCGCATTTTCGTCCCTAGCAGGACAGAGTCAGGAGCGCTGGGGGAGGCATGGCTTGACGAATGCCTATCAAAGTCTCGCAATGGAGGGGCCGCTGTAATGAACGTGGAACCATCGAGTTAGGCTGCCGACCAACCACTGCCTCACTCGCCTACTGTTCTTTTCTACCTCCCTGTCCCTCAGAATATGGTGCGCGGCCGGATAACTACGTCGTCTATAGCATGCGCAAAGTACCGAGGTGGGTTTCCTTATCATGCCGTCTTTCCTTCTCTTTAGAGACTTAATGAACCTCTCTCTATAGATCCTCCCGCTCCGCATCAGAATCTAGGGCGGTTACGAGCCGTGTGTTGATGTCCTTATAGTGAGTTCTATCGCCGTGTCCTCCTGAAATGTACTAACCTAGGATTAAAAGCTATCACGTCGTCCTCAATCAAGGAAGGAGATCAAAGACTATCGGGAGCAGAGCCTAATCCTCCGTCCACAGGAACTTTTCGCACCTCTCTAATTCCTATCAACGAACTCCAAATGTCGCTCCTTATTCTCATCGGGATATCCCAGCGGCCTCAGTTCCTAGATGCCGTACGTCCAGATAAGGCCAGAGATAGAGCGAGCTTCCAGAGGGACGCAGCCACTTCGACATCACTTTCTTCGATGGCTACAGCATTGATGGTGACTGTGAAGAGAGAGAAGGCCAATCGAGCCCTTTAATGCCTCGATCTTTATGCATGTCACGCTCCTACTTGCAGAACGAGGAGCGTTTATTGAAGCACCCTGCTACCTTCCGGACTCGGAGAAGATCTTCCATCGATGTAGGTCTTCGGAACCGATACCGTCCTCTTTCGACATTCCATTTACCCGCATCAACTGGATGTATCCGAAGTATGGCTCAAGCGCGCCTCTCAGTCATACCGTCGAGCACGTTTCGCACAGCATCATTTTGGCGGCAAGTTTGACTGTCCGCGCGGAGATTATCGAGGCTCGCCGAATCGTTTGCGTGCGTGACGCTCTACCGTCCTATCCTATCCACATCCCTTTCCTCTGTACTCGGCACCTATCCGGAGCATCTGCAAACATGATCCGTCTAGCCAGCTGCCTAAAGCACATCTCTTCTCATACGCACCCCTGCCCAAGACGCTCGGAGCCTTCACTCCTATGGTGGCAGTCGTTGTCGTACGGTTCTGCGTATCCCGTGAAGATAAATGCGCCAAACATGCACGAACAAAAGAGGAGCATCATTCTCTCCTTGTACCCGCACACCCGTTGGAATTACCATCAGTTCTACAAATACCACGTATACAGATCGTTGCGGGCTCCCTAGAATTCTTCATTTACGAGCGCGAGGACAATTGTAGGAGGACATGTCTCTGAGAGGTCGACGACTGGCATTAAAGTCTCATCTGTGCTCTCGCCACTGTCATGGTGAATATCCGCCAGATCAGACTGAGTAGATGATATCCCTTTTAGCGAGCAACCGATACCACGGCTGTTCATTTCTGGGGTGACGTTGGACTCTTCATGCTACGGCTCCACGTATGTTCAAGGAGGGATGCGTGCGCTTGGGAGCTGGATATGTGCTCGAGCACCTCGTTTTTCGCAGTGAGCAATACTTATCATCGTGTCGTCCCAACACGTTCTAAGCGGTCGATATACATATGCAACGCCGCCTTTAGTCTGGAGAACTATGGAATCGGACACAAATTTTCCGCACTTGTTTATCTCATATTACGGCGACAGATACTCCAGGATGTCTCCCTTGAGATCTGATCTTTCCTCGGCTTCCTCGCAAGGAGCACTATCCTATGCTTATTTCCTGCCGTAGCGTTGGTAATAAAGAGGAAACCAATCTTTCACCCCTTCGATGCTGCGATCCTTGCTATGCGACGTTTCGTTCACCAATCTCTTGCATCACCTACATCACTGTCTAGAGCAAATTCCGGTAGTATTGAGTCCTGGAGTGTTCATTATGTCGACGTTTCCAGATGACAGATGCCGGAATGAAGCTCTTCTGACGGTAGAGTCTTGTTAGTCTATGATAGAGATAATACATGAAAAGGCCGAGTTTATCCAGCAGAACGGGGAAAAAGAGTGTTTAGTCTACATGAAGCATCTCTATGGCCTTTTCGGCAGCAGCAAATTTGACCTCCGACTTCGTCACTTTGCCTCTGTTACGATCCGTCACCCGTGCTTCTTCCAATACCCGGATACCCCCTCCCTCCCCTTGATGCAACTCTACCACGCAAATGATATTTTCCTTCTCTTCGGAAAACGTATATTTCACCTTTTGTCCCTGCTTTGAAGCCCAGACCGATAGCCGCGAAACGGGATGACGAACGTCAATGTCGTCCTTGACGATACGTTCCAGTAAGGGCAAGACACCGATTGTTCGCATAACATCTCGTGTCCTATCCAGGTTTCCCTCCGAGTCAAGGAATACTGCGCCCAAGAGACTTTCGATCATGTCACTGAAGAATTTGGGCGCTTGTAGTCGCGTCAGCGCTGTCCAAGGATAGATCTTCCCATTCTCCAAACCATCAGCAATCGCATCCGAAAGTGTCTGAAACCTTTCAAATGTTACGTGCTGATCGTCCAGAACGCGAGGACTCGCATGTAAGAGGCACTTCCATAGATATATGTTGCCCTCCTCTTCTTCAAGCTGGAACCCAATCCCCGATCCTGTGGGCCGAGGCATATGGCTTCGAACCTTCAGACAACACTTTAAGCACAGATAGGCCAGAATATGCCCATTCACGACCGCAGATTTCCGAAGGTGCATATTGCCGGGACTGTACTTCTTGCCTTCGGCACGATACAGATAATCCGTAACCACCATATCCATCACCGCGTCTCCAAGAAATTCCATACGCTCATAAGAGATCGTTCCAAAGTCCTGCTGGTGACTCGGATGGGTGAGGGCTTCAAGGAGTGTGAGCTTATGTCTAAATTCGTAGCCCAGCATCGATTCTACTTGGGATATGGTCCTCTCCGGCAATTCGATGCGCTTTTTGACTTCGGGTTCGATTCTACTGACCCTTTGAATCGAGGACTCAATGCGGTCAACAGTTGGTTGCCAGGTAAGGTCGAGACCGAAGAACTTTACACATTCATAGCCCAGTTCGAGCCCTCCGTGCAGATACGCTGCGCCGATTGTGGATTCGATAACATCCGCCAGCACTGGATAGTATGGATAAACTGGAGCATAAAGTGGCAGGGTACAATGAGCTTACCTTTTGTAGAAAGTTCTCCCGCAATCTTTTTCGCCTTATTTTTCTTCGCTTCTTTCTTCGTGGACGGAGTCACAGTCACCTCAGCCAATTCCTTCTCGTGGATAGGTGTGCTAGAATGCATGTACGCAGGTTTCCATTTCTTGCCAAGTAACCGGTCTAAATGCAACCACGTCAATGCCGGACAATACCGTATTGTGGAAAAACCAACCTCGAATAATCCACTTGAACATTTCTCTAGAGATATTCTCATTTGCCAAAGTAACGTTTGCAATGGCATGGTCCTTCCGTCGAGACAGGTATCCTTCGTGCCAGAGTGGGTGTTCCGATAGAAGCTGTATACTGACTAGATACTTCAACACTGTATCTCCCAGCGTCTCCAAGCGCTGGTAATTGTCACATTCTTGAGACGATGAGGCTGTCATTGCGACAGTCAATAATTGCGACGGGATGGAATAAAGGTGAGACGACGAAGTGAACATCCTGTC